TGTCATCGGTTACCACCATTAGACAACTCGTAACACCAGAGGAGCTCCTGGGTTCCTTTGGTAGCGCTGGTAGAAGATTAGGATAAAACCTCCTAACATGTTCCTGCATGTAATACTTGAGCTGTGACAGCAGGAGACGGGTGGAGACAAGTTGGAGCGATAATTGACAAGGGAGAGCCAGGGAGAGATAGAACAGGACAAGAGAACAAGTAGAAATGAGCAGTAGAGCTCTGGAGGACGTCCAGACAATTAGAATGGAAGGAGAGGAGACGCTTTTTCTATTCCTCTAGATCTTCCATTAGTTTATTCATTTTCTGCTTCAATTTCTGGTCTATTTTCATTCCGTGTTTTGTTTTTGACAATGAAGGAACTCAAATGGTGTGTACCTCCCTTATTTCCTCTCCTCCTCCTCCTCCTCCTCCTCCTCTTCCTCTCTTCTTCTCTTCTCTGAATCACGGTGCCGTGAACTGGCTGACAGCGAGTGAGCAGCACTGAGAAGAGGGATTTCCATTGAGACAGAGGGGCTGTCATCACCGCTCACCCTGAATATCATCACCTCAGTGACTCACATACACTGTCTCTGTCTCGCTGTGTGTCGGTCGCCCTCCTCTACACACACACACACACACACACACACACGTGTTTACACAGACAGACAGGGAGACGGCGGTCCTCCTCTGTGTGGTTTGTGTTTTCTCTTTGTTGCTTGTTGTAATCGCGGGAGCAGATGATAGAGAGGAGAGGGGAGAGCAGGAGGAGGTGAGACAGCTGTCTCCCTGTTGATGATGTGGAGTAGTTTCCTGAGTCGAGGTAGGAAATCCTTCTCATGTCTGTTTCTGTTAAAGCATGTGTTTTCTGTGTCAGGCTGCATGTATGTACAGTGTATGTACAGTGTATGTACAGTGTGTGCACACTACAGGTGTTTGCTATGTGGGTGTGTGGTGTTTTTAGGCGGGGGGGTGTCGAGGACCCGGAGGTCATGACCTGCACCCAAACCTTGAACTGAGGCTGTAGTCAGGTGGTCTCTCTGCTCACAGTGTGGTTTGAGTGAAATAATTATAATTCTTCAAAAGGTGCTTCATCTCAGCACAGTTATCAAAACAGTAAAATCTAAATGTTGAATTTTCAGTTTTCTCCCGATTCATTGAAGTGAAAAACATTTCGTCCATCTGGTTTTCTTTGGACTCGACATTTATGAGCCGATAAAAATCATGTAATGAAACAGCAGCAATTCTAAATAAAAGGTACCGTGTCTCTAAACAGTCGTGTCTCTTGGCTGAGATGTTAAAAGTTACACAATGGATAAAGAGACGATGTGGAAAAGGCTGAATTTATAAATAAATGTTGATTTTGAAAGACTAGAATTCTTCTTTAAAAAGTTAAAGCTAGTTTTACTGTATGATGTTGATGTTCATTATTATATTCCATAAGATCTGAACGATCAACATGCAAGTAAAATGTGAACCTATAGAAAATCAATAAACCAAATAAAACTAGAACACTGTCGAGACCTCCCAGACGAGAAAACTGTTATTCCTTTAACTGCCGAACCGACTGATCAAGAACCTGCCCAACTGCTGCGTGGTCCATCAGGATGACTTCTTCAAGCCCCAAGACCAAATAGAAGTTGGTGAAGATGGCTTTAAGCAGTATGATGTCATCACTGCTCTGGACATGGACGCCATGATGAGCACGATCTATGCGTGGTTGGATAACCCAGTGAAGTTTGAGAAGTCGCACGGAGTCAACAACACCCTGGATACTGAGATCATCCCGAAGTCAGACCATAAGGAGGAGGAGACTCACATCCTCATTGTGGAGGGCTTCTTGCTTTACACCTACGGACCCTTGATCGACGTGCTGAACCAGCGTTTCTTTATTTCCATCCCATATGAAGAATGCAAAAAGAGGAGGTGCTCCAGGAACTACACAGTGCCAGACCCCCCCGGCCTGTTTGATGGTCATGTCTGGCCCATGTACTTGAAACATAAGAACATCGATTTTAATCTTCATAAATCAATAAACCAGCAAACCTTCCAGCTTCGTTGTGTTAAAGGAAAGAGTAGGAACACCAGAGTCGGCACGATCCATCCTCTGGAGACCCTGAATGTGTAAAACAAATCTTTTAACCCTCCATCTAACAGTTGTCGAGATATTTCTGTCTGTAGCAAAGTGAGCGACAGACTGAGAAAAGTCCACACTCTGCAAACAGCAGGTCTGTTTTCATCTGCCATCATCCTCTCTTTCTCTAAATGCCAACTTTTGTCGCAGTTTTTTTATTTTTTGGCTCAAGTAAAAAAGAATGCACCTGAAAGCATGTGGGTTGAAATGTAGCTACTGCGGAGGAAGAGCAATGAAAAACAGGATTTTTGCTCACTTCAGATCTCTGCTACAAACACTTGGACACGCTGTGCTGCCTCGTTGGTCTCTCTTGAATGTGACGGTCCTCCTCACGTGTGCTCGACCTGGAGATCGGCCTGCGTTTGTTCAGGAGAAGTAT